CCCCCCCCCCCCCTCCGTTAAAAACTCTGGATGCAGAATCGCTGACGGAGACAATTCCGAGAATGACTTTGAAGCATCACCAGCACCCAGCAGTACGTGTAACATATCACACTCGTCTCCAGCATCAAGAGTGTATACTTTATATACAGTACAGTAAAGTATATAAATAGGGAACAGAACAGAAAAAAAAATACGGCAATAAAAAGATACGAGAGTTAACTGTGCACCCACCAGCAGCTCGGGTGCCGTTGGGTGTGACGGCGTACTGGTATAGATCCAGCGTGACGAGCAGATGCGGCGACGGCGACGTCTGCGTCCGGCTGGCCAGGGCGGCGTCCAGCAAGAACCCGGCCTGGGCCACTGTCGACGCCCGGATCTCGCTCTGATTCACGAGCTGCATGCCCAGGACTGGGTCATCGCACAGGAATATCCCGGGCGACCCCTCGGCATCTGTCCAAAAATAAATATAAACGTAAAAACAGTTGTCATCAGATATTGAAATTTGAAGCAAAATTGTCACTTCTATGCTCGCTGTACTTCCCGTGAGACGAGATGCGACCGAATTCCATGGAAAAACAAACGGTGTAAAGCAGTATGCAATCAATGAAAAATACTGTTGTGGAGAGAATGCATTGAGAAAAAAAACCCAAAAAAAGTTCTTCCCCCCTCTCTAAACTCTTATTTCCATTTTGAAAGTAGTCTTCGTACAACAGGCATTGAAAGAGAGAGAAAAAAAAATCAATTTTCTGTTTTTATTACGTCTTCATCTTTGCATATTTTATGTCTTTTTTTGGATTTGCTTTTGTTCAAAAATACCCTTTATTCACTTCTGTAGCGTTTTTGGTGTTCCTTGTGGAATTGTATTAATTGATTATTACAATCAAGAAAAAAAATTGAGCAGCACATAGTTGAGATTTCCCCTTGAACATATTTAGTTGAACTTTTTCAAGTCAAACTTCAAGGGATCAGGAAAACTTTTGAGGTCTGAAGGTTTGGAATTAGTGAAACAGGAATTTTTTTGGTGAGAAAATGAAGAATACAAAATACAGGAAGTTATAGTTTGTGATATTACAGGCCTTAAATTGCTGCTTGAATGAGTTGACAGGATGAAGGCAAGGGACAATTTTCAAAATTTGTTTTTCACTTCCTTCCGAAGCGCATAAAGTAAGGTTTTCACTGATTTTTTTTCACGTTTAAGCCAAAAAATCTCCAGAAAATTCGAGTTATTGTGGCTTGAGGAGGGAAAGCTTATGAACCAGTGAGGCTCTTAATGCATTGTTTTCAAGAAAATTCAAACAAAACTCGACAGAAAATTCGAAATATGGAAGTTCTCAACTTAGCGAGGTTCCACTGTACTGGCAATTAAAAACTACACGGTTAATAAAAAAAAAATGACGCAAGACGACCGAGTTATTCTCGCCGACTGTTGGAATATCATCGAAACATCAATTTGACGTCGTCCAAATGAAATCGTCGACCATGTGTGAGACAGGTTTCAGATCTTTCGACAAGGTGAGTGACCGATAATACTGTACCTGGGAGTCGACTCCGTGTGAGTCGACGACCTGCCCTGACACCACCGGAAATTATTCCACTTCCGAAAGCATGTGACGGAACTTCATCCGCCTTTTTTTCTCCACTATAACTTCCAGCTGACAGTAATTTCACAAAGAAGTGAACTGGAATTTTAAATAGAGGGATATTTCTTGACGAGTCCGAAGTAGAGCAGAACCTTTTTCGAATCATTCCTGAACCTTTGCAATGAACTTGAAGATGCGTCAGGACCAGAATAATAAGACAAATGAACACTTGTCTCCAAGTTCAGCATCATGTCAAATCACTTGAAAAGCAATTTAAGGCTCAGAATATCATCAATTACAATCTCTACCAATTTTTTCATGTTTCTCACAATGAAAATGCTTTGTTTTCTTACAAACTTGAAAATACTGTAACAAAAATGTATTTGATGGTCCCCTGAAGTTCGACTAAAAAAAAAGGTTCGACGGTAATTAGTAAGTCAAGGACACAGACAATTTTTTTCATGCAAATTATTTCATTATCCGTAACTCGATTCAAGTTTTTCATTATCATTAAAAACACAGTAGAATTTCGTTACAATAAACACCTTCAAAATTATTTATTGCTGCTGGTAACAAATTCATATTTTTCGATCTCTGCCCAATCGTCAGAATTTTATTTTAATTTCGTTGATTTCAAGAAATTATTATTTTTTTCATAAAGAAGCTCTTTTTAAGGTCACAAACGCTTTGTTGTAATGAGTTTCTAATGTTTTCGACCTCGATATCTCGGACCTCCCTGATTTTGAAAACGTTGAACTTTTATTTGTCAAGTTTCGTCTGAATTCCTCTTGTTATATTATTTCGTCTTGAGCATCTTTATTCGAATTTCCTCATCTTGGAAGTTTTTCATTTTATTTTTCGACTTGATATACACAGTAATGAGGCTGCCTCATACTCCTCCCTTTCCCTTCGGTATTTTGATAAAAGACATTTTTCGGGTCCGCCACACGCAAAAAACAGTTTAAAAAAAGACAGAAAGGAAGAATGAAGAAAGGTCTCACCCGAGGCAAACGGCGCCAGAAGGTCCCGAAGGTGTTCGTCCTGGCCGACTATTTCGACGGCGGACATGCGGACGGAGAAGCGGGCGCCGGACTTTTGACGCTGCTCCTTGAC